ACGCAATGAATGGGCATTCATCCACGAAAGCTTATGCTCCAATACTTCTGTTAGTCTTAAAGGTGCCACAGAACCCCCTGTTGCTTTTTACAGATTCAGAGTAACATGGCTACCCCTCTGATGGTTTGAATTGATTATTAAAGAACTTTTTCTTTGTTAACTCTTATAATTCTGCAACATAGTACATAGATCTTCCAGAAATCTACCCTTTCCTCTGCATAGTGCCACTGCAGTGTTTACTATCCCCTTCTCCCGGCAATTATCCAGTTCCCAGGTGACATCACATCAAATGACCTGGGTACAGATTAGCTTCCTTTGTTCACTATTTATCATTGTTTTACCTGCCATTAAGCTTATAACACGTCTGTGATACATTGGGGCTTTGTCCCTTTCTACACTGATGTTTCAAGCTTCATTTTCAAAAAGAAGTTCTTGAATTGTAGCTACAAAATATGCTACCAAGGTGTTTAAGAATTCATCACTGACTTGTATTTGGGTACTGGTATTGGAACTGTCTCATCATATTCCAGTCTCCCAAAGAACTCTAGAATCAGAATTCAGTTTGTTCTACCACAGCTGAGCGGGCCTAAATTTTGATAGGGTCACAGGGTTTGAAATCTGCCTCAGTGTGTCCCAAGATGTTTTAGATCATTGTATGAAGAGGTTAGAGAACACGTTACCTGTTGTTATATTTTCCAGGTAGCCATAACGAGGACCTCGTAAAATCTTAAAAATGACTTGGTCCTCTTCTGTATCGGGGTCATATGCCTTCAAGGACCTGGCAGTAATGTAAATCCCATAATTGCCATTTTTCAGGAGCTCCACATCTGAAGAACAATGGAGGTGAACAATTTTTGGTGCAGTTTTGTCCAAATGGTCCACCTGAATCAAGGTTAGAAATAACAAATGTACATTTGTTTCACAGAATCAGACCTTTCCCTGCACTACAAAAAAAAAAAAAAAAAGTTGAGTATATAGGTACCATAGGAAATCTGACTCAAGGCTTTGGTAATGTCACCCACTGACCTGGTCAATATATCCTCCCCAACCTGAGCTACCTTTGCATCTCCATTCCTAACCATATGACTTGCATTCCTGTCATCAAACCTGTGGCTCCTGCATCCCATGATCTTCCCATGAAACTATTTTCCTTATCCCCATCCATCTTCTATCTTTCTTGTGAATAGGAATTATGAGGCCTCTTTGCTAAATCTGTACTTTGACATTTCTCATGGTTTGCTATACAATGCAGTCTGGGTCACTTGATGCTAAAAATGCCAGATTATATAAGAACTTAAAGCAGAGGCATCTGGGCCTAATGCTGACACTGTAAGAACCTTTAAAGGTGGGGGAAATCAGAGACCAAAGGAAAGATCACACTATGGAAAGGAGGAACTGGGTCAGGCTAATGGGAGGCAACTGATAGGGATTCAGAATTCATGGCCAGGGAAGGAGGGAAATCCAGCTTGCGAGCAAAGGGAGCTAAGCACTGAGATTGGTGAGAACAGAGGACTCCCTAATGGAGCAGAATTTAATAAAAGGTTCTGGTTCCGTTCTAGGGCAGGGCTGAAGTTTGAATAGATTCTGGTAAGAGCTGTAAAACATACCTTTGTCACAGAACAGTTACAAGTATCAAGTTGACTATTTTCTCCTGGATGTGGCCCATGACAGATGCTTCAGTAGTCCTAACACCACCCCGCCACACCAAGTGCAGCTTACTGTGCAATATACCTTTGGGGGAAATGTGGGATTTCATCCTCACCACAGCTGGGGTTAACTTTGGGGCCTTAACACTTGAAGATTGGAAACTCTTACAACATTCATCTCAACTAGTGTAACAAAGATTGCATTTTTTCCTATTCTTATGTCTAATCCATTTTTGAACTATTGCCACAGGGTATTACTGAAGCTCCATTGGTTAATTATCCTATTAGCCCATCCCTACCAGATCAATCCTAAATTGCTGAGTCCCTGAAACTGAGCAGCAAGCAAGCACTAGCACTATGCCCATTGGAGCCAGTATTTTTATACCTATTAATTAACCTTATTGTTCTATTCAACTTTTTAAAACAGGGTGTTGGCCATACTTACCTGAATGGTGAATGCCACAGGCTCCATTTGCACCTTCCCATCTACGATGAAGCCTTCATTAGTCCTATCTGTTGCAACAAATGTAAATCTGTCAATCTGGGAAGCCCCTCCTCCATGTCTATATGCCATGTCCATGTTGTCCACATCTTGCTGAGTGAAATTGTGCTGCAGCAGCACAGTCCCTCGGTAGCACAGATGGCCATATTGAGGGAGCTGTGCCAAGAGGAAAGTAAGGTTCTTTGAGGAAGTGTCTGCATCTGAAAGCTGCAGGACATCAGGAGAAAGGAGTGCCATAGTGCCTTCCACTAATCTTAGCCCCTTGTTCCTAGACACTATGGGCAAAGCTTGGTCCACTGTCTCCAACGTGATCTCGAACGTTCCGTGTTTAGTCTTCAGTCCATTGCTGATGATAAATCTGGCAAAGAGAGGCAAGGCAGCCTTCAGCATGTGTTCTTGATTCACCATCTACTGAAATGAAATGATAACACCTTTACTAAAGGATTTGCCTCACGGTGACTCTGAAACACACATCAAAAACTAGATCTCTGACAGTATCCTGCTTTTCTTTTGACTCAAACCCGGACCAAACGGGGGATAGTTATACAACTTAGGGTATGTCTACCCTGCAGTTTTTCTGTGCATGAACTACACACAATGCTGATGAAGGGTTCTCACTTGCCAAAGTTTTCATTCAGTTATTTTTGTCATTACCTTACTGGCAAAGACCTTCCCCTCAGTTAGACAGCTTAACCCTCAAAGTGCTAGATAGCCTAGTGGTATGGCTCTTACCCAGAGTTCAAATCCCAGAGGATGGCAATGTGCACTAAAGACTACACTATCTACCTAAGTGGAAATATTTGATTTGCAAAGAGCTGTTCTCTGTGGTGATATATTTCCCTTACTCCCACCGCACCTCCCAAAATATACTGCACATTGTGTGCATCCATTATCATGCTCACAAGTGTAAATTAACATGGGAAAGTACAACTGATATTTCAGACATAACTACAGGTGCATTCCCAGCTAGCCACTTTTTCCTCTCATTACTGGACTGCCATTTTACATAAACCAAATAAGGAATAGTCAACATTTTGATAATTTGTTTCGCCTTGATCTGGCGGTTGAGAGGCGTGTAAACTGAACTCAGAGAAGTATTAAAAGAACCAAAAGCTCAGAACTAGGATTGCTGTGGTTTACCTTGTTTAGAAGTGATCTTCATAGGTCATGGAAATGGCTTGCAGTGTTATACAGGCTGTCCAACTAAAACCCTTCACTGCCTATGCCAATGCCCGACGATTAGGGGCTGACCAACTTGTAAGCAGGCACTATGCCATCAGACAGATGGGAACGAATATAGGCAGGCCAGAGACTATATAGGAGTTAGAAGTATGTTTACTGAGGGCAGAATTCCCAGCAGGGAACATAGAGGCAGCTGTCTGTACTGACCTGAAGTTACTGTGCCAATGGTAAAGGGGATGTACTATTGCTAATTTAGCTGGATCTGATATACCGCTGGAATAATAATACCAAATGATAAGTACAAAACAGTTTTCATGGTCATGCAAGACCATTTTTGGCCTTATAGAGACAGGAAAAGTACAGCTGAGGGGTGCAAATTGACACAGCCACCTTTTGGGGGTCTCCCTGGAAGGTATCCTGGGAAATCTCTGAAACCAATATTTAATCAAAAAGATTTAGGAAGAACAGTTCATGTGTATGAAAAATTAGTCCAGAATCCTGAGTCCAGGACACTGGACAGGTTCTGTGACCATCTTAGATATATAAATAAGGCTGAAAATTACAATGCAGATAGAACTTGATCTGGCAGATAATGAAGCAGGCTGGGTCCAAGAAGTAGTTATTGCGACACTTTCCTATTTCTACACTTCAGTTTTTTGTTTATTTCAGGTTTACTGCTGCTCTGTTTTCCCCCTAGGAATGAAAAGCAGCCAACATTCTCATCACTCTGATGAAATTTGGGGAACAACTCTCAGGTTTAGTTAGGAGGACATGTCGCATGGTTTGATTTCACCATTACCAAGGTTTTATGCTTTCTGAAGTTCCATGGCAATAGAGTTGGCTGCAGAACCTGCCATCTGTCATGGCATTTAAAAGATAAAAATGGAATCATAAATAGAGCCAGCTCATTACAAAATCGAGCCAGCGTGTCAAAATGGAGGACATTAGCATGTTCTTTTAGCATCCTGCTGCCAGCATCTGATGTCAGGTTGCTAATCATTTGAAGTCATCTGTCCAAACAAGCATTGCCAAATCTTTCTTCCAGGCCAGAAGCACCAAACAATACAGGGAAATTTATTACTGAAGAAATTACTTTAGCGGAAGGTAAAAATCTGATCATTTAACCCCCCCACCCTCCCCCAACTCCATATAATTAATGTTACCATTCCTTGTTTAAAAAAAAAAATCTACTGCAGTATTTATATCCCTATACACAACCAAATTCTTTGCCAGAATAACAGAAAGGAACATAAATTACAGTGATTCAAACTGACATATATTTATTAAAAAAACCACAATCTTACTTCTATTAAACCAATCATTCTAATTTGGTTCTTCTCCACTGGTCCAGACAGAAAACTTGTTTTAGTTTAAACTGGATCTATTTCAGTTCAGCTCAAGTTAATTAAGAACAGATTTGAGCTAAACTGAAAAGCCACTCAAACTGAAATAAGTGGGTCCACACAGAGGTTTGCACCGGTCTAACTTAAACTGTGCAAGTTTGTGTTCTACACCTTAACCATACCGCTTCATGACTATCACAAAGCTTCACAAAGCCAAGGAAGTTAACAAATTCTCAGTAACTGGTATTCTCTGTTATGGAAATAGGCAATCATAAAAACAGCTCTCACAGCAAGAGCTGATTGAAAATCAGAATTTCCACCTCATACGAAATTCAAATATTTCAATGTTTGCTTTTGTTTCAAATTGGGACAAAGGGTCAAAACATCAATTTTTTTTTGGAGAATGAAAAGTTCAGATAATTTTCACTCAGAAATGTCTAAACATTTCATTTCAGCTTGGTCCAATGTTGAATTGTGTCTGCCACAGAGCCACATAGGACTTGTAGTTTGGTTGCCTCATGGCCTCATTCTCTTCTTTGGGCAAGGCTTCCTGGCTAGACTACATCACCCAGGATATACTGCAATCATAAAAGTCCTACAAGGCATTATAGCAGTTTAGCCATACAAGGGAATGATGAATCATGGGTGATGTAGCCCAACCTGGGAGCACTAGCCCATACAGGAGAATGGGGACATGAAAGCATCTAAACTACAACTCCCATGAGGCACCGTGACAGCTCAGGTAAATTAATATAGAACTGACCCAAAACTAAATATTTCTGTTTGGTTCAACAAACTACAATATTTTGATTTGTGTAACCCAAAGTGAAATACTTAATTTGATTTTCCCCAAAGGAAAATCAACAAATGTTGGCAAAATTGAAAATTTCCTGTGGAAAATGTGGATATTGCGGAAATCCCATTTTCTGTAAAAAACAAAAACAAAAAAATCCAAACATTTTGATGGACAATTCTCAGCCAGCTCTACTCAAAGCTTATCACTATTTCTTGCAGAACATTATCTGCATTTTAATCAGCCTAATACCCCCATCCCCAAAAGGCTGTGTGCAATAGTGAACCTCCCTCTAGTTGCACCCTTCTTTTCTATGGCCCATTGAGGTAAATTATGACCACCACCCAGAACTCTGTTCGTCCAGACACTTTGCCTTCAGAGAGTACCAATCTCTGCTGGCTTGTGAGGCTGGTTCAGGACCAACCCAGATTCTCCATGTGACAGTGCATTTGATTGTCACTAGACTGCCAAGCTGGCTCTGAAGGTGACAAACTTTTGTGTGCAAATTCTGTTGTACTTATTTATTTCCTTGTCTTGTGGAACTAGAATAGATTAATGCTCATCAGTGTGTGAAAGAATCACTATAGAATACAAAAAGCCTGTGGTAGAATTAATGTCACTTACTGAAGATTTAAAAAGTCTATTGTGTTGAAATAAGAAGCACACAACACAAAAGGGCAGGGCACAGTCTATATGTATCAGGGAATATACTACTGATGGTCACGTACACTGCTCTTCCACCATATAACACTGTTGACAACAAGAAGGTTAAGGCAGAAGTTAGTTAAATGGTTAAACTGCATGACACAGTCACTCAATCTGCTCCAAAGAATGGCTGTAGCAAGAGGCATGAAAGAACTATCTAAGTCTAGATCAAGAAATCTGAACCCAAATTCTCAGTGTGGACAATGATTTGGTGGGAGCACTGACTCTAGTATGAAAGAAATTGGGTGTGGTGCCAGGAGATTGAGCACTTTATGCTAAAAGTGACACAATTAGAGCTGCCGTCCTAAAAAATAATATAGTAATGAGCTAGATCCTCAACTGTAGCTCTACTGAAATCAGTGGCGTTATGCTACCAGCTGAAGATCTGGGCAACTGAGGAATTTTATAAGAGAGGCACAGAATTGCACATTAGGCAGAGTGAGGCCTCCTTGTTTCTTAGGGAGACAAGAGTACTAGGAAGGAATAAATGATATATGCTGTTGCTGTGTAAATCAGCTAAATGTTTGATATAAATCCTGAGAGATTTTGGGGTGGTGTACCAATAAGTACCAATAAGCAGGTGTTGGAATATAGAAGACAGGCAATGGCAAATTTACATTTTGATAAGTTTGATCCTACCCACCTGGGATGTTATTACATTGGTCCATGGAAGCAAATCATCCTTAATTTTGGCAAAAATTCAGGAGGGACATTACACTGACATGAGGCTTCAAATTGATATATTAAGCAGGCACCAAGGTATTTAAATGAGTTTATGACTACTCAGAAAAGAGAACTGTACCAGAGTAGGTAATTTGTCTACCTTATTAGTATATTTATTAAAGTTGGTTTTGTAACCAGAGAGATAATCAAGATATGTTAATAACTCAGGCAGAGAGCTCTTATGGACTGAACCACCTATCTTAAAGCCATAGATAAACAGCTGATGGATAGCCCGAGCTAACGGTTCCCATCTAGAATAAACAAAAGAATGGGGGAACCAACAGGAAACCTTATAGAAAACATGGTTCAGCATGCAACCTTCAGAAAATATGAATCATTAGAAAACTTTAGTTGAGGGAGATGAATGTAAGGAATATGATGCTCTAAACTTTCTATTTTAGGGATTTTTATAGCACCTGCCTTCTCTGAGGCAAATCTGCTACACATAGAGAGGGGAGAGGATTGCAGAGGCTGGGTGGGAGGGGTGGGGGATACCTCTTCCTGGTAGTTACCAGTTTGCCCGTGAGGGCGATGGGGGGAAAGGAGATGGGATTGCCAGAGATGGAGGCTCCACTTTAATTCAGATTCTTGTATCTTTGACACTCCACAACACCTACTACCATGTGTCCTCTACAGGGGAGACAATGTGGGATGTATCAGAGGAGATTCTTTTACCCCACACAGTTCCCCAGCAATCAAGTCAGCCATTTAGTGTAGGTGCTTTGCTAAAGATTTACCCTTTAAATAAAACTTCCACTCAACACAGCCAAAAGACTTTTCTGTTCCAAGTGAAATAGGAAGACCTGGGAATTCCATGGGTCTTAGCAAACTGTATGACACCGAACAGCATGCATGTGCTTTCAGCGGCTGCCTAGCATTAACATCTGGTCTGGGTATAGTAAGGATGGATTTCCAATCCACACTGCAGCACTTTGGAAATTAGCAAAGATCTCAATACCTCAATGTAAAAGGGATACAGTCTGCATCACCTGCAGTCCTGGGGATCTTTGCCCTTAGGAGTGATAACAGATTGTACTGCTTCAGATGGAGTGTGGTGTGGAAAATTGAAAGAGAAATTAAATAATTAATCTATCTTTTCAGGGGGGAATATAAGGAACGTATAGTTGAAAAAACACCTGGTTCTGAAAGACTTCAGGTATTACAAGAAATGTGCATCCCAGCTCTGTCTCCTCCTAACACCAGTGGTACAATTAACAAGGAAAACGTTATAGTTTAAGGTGAAATTCCACAAGGGATGTTACTGAGGCCCACTCTCCTGACTTAGTTGTTATCAGCCATGTATATTTGCATCTTATAACAATAGTTGAACCATTATAGGCAGATGAATATAGCCCATGCTCTTATTTCATGGTTTTAAAGGATGAGTAGTGATCACATAATGTCAGTCAGGCTAAATCCAAGATAGAGGTAATACCTCTTGTCATATAAACATTGGCTATTTACTACCAGCACCATCACTACCACCTTTCCATCAGTTTTGTTATTAGTCAAAGTAACAAGCAAGAAGGAATTCTTCAGAACTTACCTGAACAGATCTCGGGGAGCAGCTGCCTTGCTATTGTGAACATAGCAGACTGCTTGACCTGCTACATCCATTTGGCTGAAACTTGTAATAGGGACTCCAGGATAGCTGACATACTCTATCTGTCCATACTGAGGTGGCGAGGTTATCACATAGAGGAGCTCTTCTGGTTTCTCAGTTCCATCAATTGCAAGGAGAACATCAGTTGTCAAGAAACCTCTGTCCCCCTTAGATACAGTAAGTGGCCTCACGAAAACAGCAATGTCCCCTGCAAGATACATGATACCCAGTTAAAAGTGTCATATTGACATTTGTATTTCTGTCTTACCTATTGTTTCCACCTAGCGTAGGTAGATGAATTCATGGTTTTAAATAGTGATTGTGCAGTGTCACATTCGTCAAGAATAAATCTACAATAAAGGTAACACAAATCCAATGATGGAAGTAAGGCCTCATGGTTTTAGCACTAAATTGGGAGTCAGGAGCCCTGAACCATACCATCCTCCCAACTTTGCTGTTCTTATTACTTGCTTTGGAGAAATTGCTTACCATTTTTCTGTGCCTTGGTTTACCCATGTACAAAATGAGTATAATACCCACTTTACCAAGATATTGTCAGCCCAGTATAGTCTACATTTATAAAGCACTTTGAGGTCCTATGAGGTGAAGGATAAAGTATTAACTGAGTGTACAACCTTTTGGAATCTTAGGAAGCCTTCTTCAAAAATAATTTTAAAAGACCCAATCCCACAATGAGTTCCATGCAGGCAGATGCTACTGCAGGCTTGGAGCCCCACTGAAGATAATTGGACCTTGCCCATTAAAGGGTTAAGGTCAAAGAGTGGATCATAAATGGCAATTTAATTTTTTTCAGATTGTCCTGGTATAAGAATTAGTCATGGAAGAATGCAAAATTACCCAGATCTTTACCTTTTTCCATATCCTTGATAGTTATATAGAAGTCCATTGCTGGGGATTTGTTGTCCCCATCCCACAGATGAAATGTGAAGCTGTCTTGGTTCCTGGACCCCATAGCTCCTGTATGCACGTATCTCACAAGGTTCATATCTATTTCCTCCTGGGTGCACTTCATTTCAGTTTGGAGCATCACCCAGTCCCTACCTACCTAGAAAGAATAAAAATCTGTCAGCAACCTGACAGTATTCCATAAGTTTTCCCAAGTTAATTTTGCTCAATTGGTAGATATTGCTCAGTTATTTACACCCTTGCTGATGATAGCCTACCTATATTCCCCTTTCACACTTTGGACCTCCTTCCTAATAGGAGGTTTCAGGGACAGTAGCTGGTAGGAGCTTTGTAGCCAAGCAGCCAGAAGAGCTGGAAAAAGCAGATGCTAAGAACCTAATGGAGCTCACTGCTAGGAAGTGTTTCCTCATATTCAGCCTACATTTTTCATTTCATGCCATTACTCCTAGTTCTGCTCAGGCCCAAAGTCAGCCAGGCATAAGTGAGGAGCCTATGGGGAGTTAGAGGGAGGCAGGGAGAATTAGGGAGCCAAGGGGTCCTTCCCTGGAAAAATTTGAAATGTCAGGTGCAATATCCTGCTTGGCAGAAGATTTCAAGGTCTTTAACAACAAATATGCTAGATCAACCAAAATCTGAATATGTGGTATTGAGCAGGAGCTGTGTCCCAGTGTAATATGCTGCTGCTGGAGCAAATAATGTTAAAATACCAATAAGCCCAACACACCAGACCCACGGGCTTCTGACAACACTCATCTATTTCTTGTTAGACACACACACACAAACCTATATACAATATTAGGAGAAGCCAGAATCTACCTAGCAACTTATTTTCTTCCCTGATATATGGGGCACTAGGCTCCCATTTCCAACACCGTCATTCAGAACCAAGCCCCACTTGTTTCACAGAATCATGCTACCTGGAATACAATAGCCAATTTTCTACATAACAAATAACAAAGAAAAGGTTAGTATGTCTGCCTTGCTTATTGTTCTGATTGCTCATCTTCGGTCAATACTTTTCTTCCCTCCTGTTTCTAGTACTATTTTTTCAGTCTCTCTTTCTCTCTCATTAACACTTATTTTCTGACCTTCCCTTTCCTCTTTCTCCCTTGTTACTTTCTTCCTCTCTCACTGATAGGTTCTTTCCTGCACCACTGGGGAGTGTCTCATCTGTGGGGTCTCCTTCCACTCTCTTCCTGGTCCCTAAAATATCTCCCCATCCTCTGTCCCTGGGGTTGATCTTTCCCCCCATTTGGTCTAGCTCTTCTCTCTCCTCTTCCTCCCATTGGGATTCTTCCCCTCTAGGATCTCCACCATCATCCCAGGAAGATCCTGCCATGATTTTAACTTCCCTTCACCCCATCCGAGACTCCCACCTCTAGTATCAAAACCTCTGATTTAGTATTTTGCATGGTTCAGCTACACAAGTCAGTTCACCAGAGCAGTGTATTCCAAAACATGAAAGACATTCAGGATAAAAGGAGAATCTGCTTCTTTTTGTTCTAACAAGAGAGAGTTGTTTGCTTGCTTGCTTTTTGTTAAAGTACAAAGACTAACCTTGAGCTGAAGCTGCCCATTTTCTGGAATTCTTTCAAATAAATAGTAAATTCTCTCCCTGGAGGTGTCTTTATCTTCGGCTGACAGAACAGCACTAGAAATTATTCGGGTTTCACCCATGTTCACCTCTATCTCATCCTTCCTGAAAAAAAGAAAAACCTCATGCACTGATGTGAAAACAGAAAAGTAACCTTTCCAACAAGTGATACTACTGCCAGGAAATGGATTATCCAGAAACTGACAGGAATAATAACTGCAAAATGACTAAAGGAGGACACATATATCTGCAAAACAGCAAGTAGAGAAGACTGATTTCTCATAACAACAGTGAAAAACAATACCAACGAAACAGATCTGAAGCAACTTTGGATCTCACAACAGGAATCAATTCTCTCTGCCCCCCTCCATAGACATTATCTGGGTTGCCTTAGAGGGGCAATATGAACAAGGTGGCCATGATGCTATTACAGGCCATACCAATAGGTGCACCATTGGCCCTTTAGGGGTCTTAATTCATTGGCTGTTCAATCATTGGCTGGCTGAGCCCTGAAAAAGAGCTTTCACGAGGAACAGAGGCCCATTCTGCTGGTTGCCTATGCTTCCCTCCTCAAACTTTCCATTAGCCCTCCAGGATCAAATCACTGTAAGGTTTTGCTTACAGCTTTTTGCTCATTGGTGTCCGTGGCTGCCATTGCACAAGAAAATACAGAGTCAGGTAGGATGGAAGGCCGAAAATGGTTTAAAATTCCTCCAGAGACTTACTCCAGCCTAACTTCTCAGTCTCTCTCTCTCTCTCTCTCTCTCTCTCTCTGTTTCCCTCCCTTCAGCTAGTACCTGCCTCTTAGCAGCTCTCTCGTCACATACTTTTACTATTGTTATTATTTATTACTTGTATACCAGTAACATTAACTATGTACTAGGCACCAACCAGCGATAAGGTAAAACAAAGTCTATGCCCCAAAGAGCCTACAATCTAAGAAGACAAGCAACATACAAAGGGATTAGAAGATGGGTTAAAAAAAAACAGAGCTACTATAGGTACATTAAAAAAATACTAAATGTCATCTGACTAACTCTTCATCTACCTAGTCAGAATTAGTTGGCTAATTCTTTCTGGTATCAGAGTAGATGGTCTTGAAGAGGGGCTTTGGGGGGCAAGGGGAAATGTAGTGGCTTTACATTCGGGGAAGGTGTTCCACACAGCAGGGCTAAATGAAAGAAGGTGCAAAGGTGAATGTGCAGTACTCATAGTGATTCAGAAACATCAATGGCTAGATCAGGAACACCCTGTCAGTTCTTTTCAAGTCTGCTTACTTTTCCAACTGCATGGCATGTGCAGGCTATTGGAGAAGGGGCTAAAGTGGGGAGGAAAGGTGATCCCAAATCAAAGGGTGAGCAAGATTCCCCACTGGGGATGACTAATTATAAGATATAATCACTGCCTGTCAAGGCAGCAACACAGTTTCTGGGTTCTTCTGGGCACAGAAGGTGAAATACACTTATCTGCAGTCACCTCCATACCTCACCCCAAAGAGAAAGAGTGGGGAATGATCTACTGAACTTTATCGAAACAAGAAAAATATCAAGGTATATTTGATCAGTAATTTTGATTACATCATTTCATTTTATTAATATGTAAACTGTACCCTGCATTCTGAGCTATGGTCACTACTCTTGCTCATGTATACTATATATCTCTTTGCGATCATGTAATTGTAAAATTAACTTTTGTATTCCTTATTTTTGTCTGGGTTGATGAAGATATACATTCTTAAAATCTATGCCTCTGCGTTTAGCAAGGAGTTCTAGCAATTTAAGAAATATTGTTTCCAATAACCATCAGTAGTTAAAGGATGAAACTTTTCACAGAGGGATCATAAGAACATAAGAATGGCCATACTGGGTCAGACCAAAGGTCCATCTAGCCCAGTATCCTGTCTTCCGACAGTGTCCCATGGCAGGTGTCCCAGAGGGAATGAACAGAACAGGTAATCATCAAGTGATCCATCCCCTGTCGCCCATTCCCAGCTTCTGGCAAACAGAGGCTAAAGGCACCATCCCTGCCCATCCTGGCTACTAGCTATTGATGGACCTATCCTCCATGAACTTATCTAGTTCTTTTTTTGAACCCTGTTATAGTCTTGGCCTTCACAACATCCCCTGGCAACGAGTTCCACAGGTTGACTGTGCATTGTGTGAAAAAAAATACTTCCTTTTGTTTGTTTTAAACCTGCTGCCTAATAAATCATGTCAGTGGAAAGTTTCCCTCACTCTCCTAGTCAAATTAAAAACAGATCATATTAGCTTTAAATGCAACTGCAGTAGTTACTTCTAAAAGATCAGAAGTCAGAGTGAAACATCAGTCGTGTGTTCCTCCATATAGCATCATCCTGAGTTTAATTAATTTGTAAATCACAGCTTTGATGAAAGGGGAGGAAGTTAACTCATCTCTTGACTGGAAGATGAATTATGATTGAAAGAGAATATTTTTAAGAAACAAAATCTACTATGAATGTTCAGAGCTTACTCCGTAACTCTATAGAGCCTTTTAGTGGCATGGGGTGATCTCAGATGATGGGGAATGGGTTCTTTCTCAATCCCCAAATCCTATGCTATTTTCACAGTGTTAGCTGATATATACTATAGCCACATGTCACCAATGTCCAGGAGAAAGAGATAGCTGGATAGCTAAAGTAAATCCCACTGTATGTATTGGCCAGCAGAGGGAGTACAAAGATCAGGGTTCCTTTTAAATAATATTTTAACTAAGCTCTAACAGACAAAATGAATATGTTCCTAAATATAGATCACAACAGCCGTTTATTATTAAATAAAAAGCAACATGAAAAGAAACTTTGTGATTTAGGCATTTTGTTATCAACGGTGATCTTTATTGGGAATGCTCTTGTTAAACAGTCCTATGGTGGCATATGCAGGAACATCTCTGTTGGCATTAGTCTATGGCTATTTATGGCAGAATAGCCCTATTAATCACTATTTTGCTGTTTTGATCACTGTTGAACACATCCCACAATTTGGAATAGGAACATGTGGCTTACTTGCTCAGCATTGGCTTCTCGTCATTAACTGGGATGACCTTTACCAGAATGGTTCTGAGGACTTTATGTTTCCCATCTGACAGCTGGAGTGTAAAACCATCAATGAGGTTTTCAGAGTCATCATGCATGTACACTAGCCTCATTCCTGGGGAGAAGGAGAAAAAAAAAGAGAAAATAAAATCTGTCTCCTTCAAAATCTCTTTCACGACAGGTCCCTCTGCCTCCATCATCCTCCCCCTCTCCCCAACCCACCATGTCTTCTGGTCACAGCCAGTTTGTTTCAGCTAGCAGAGGACAAGCCATGTAAGCAGCAGCTGTTCATTAATCCATCAGTACACCAGCAACTCGAAAAGAGCAGCATGACCTGTTAAAAGAATGAAACTCCTTTCCAAACTATCTTCGTTCTGAAAAGGTAAAAATTTTCCATCCATCCACCCCAATTTAAAATTTCTACTTGACTGGGGGATAAGATGGTCAGATATCACTCCTCTTTGTCTTAACTGATCCGTAGGGAGGAAGGATCTTTAGGGAGAAAGACTGGTGTTCTGGTAGAGACAGTGGATGGGGGATTCAGGAGATCTGGCTTCAGTTCCTGGCTATGACACAGACTTTCTGTGTGACCTTGAGCAATTTATTTAATCTCTCTGTACCTCAGTTCCCAATCTGAAAAAACACAATAATATACTTCCTTTCTGCTACTCTTTATCTGTCTTGTCCACTTAGACTGTATGTTCTATAGGACAGGGACTGTCATGTTTGTACAGTGCCTAGCACAATGGGGACTTGATCTCAGTAGCACCTCTAGGTGCCACCATAATGCAAATGAATTATAATCAAACCCCACATGTGAATCCTCAAACTTTGGAGAAGTAATTTAAAAAAGTAAATGATTTGGGCTATTTCCTCTCTAATTAGAACAATGAAGAAATAAGCATAATGGATAGAGTAAACATATTTATGTCATTATCACTGCAATATGTCCAACTTCCATAACGTTTTTTTTTACACTGATGTAAAAACATTGTTTTAAAAATAATAAAATGTCCTCATATTTTCTTAGAGAAAAAGGAGACCTATAATTTTTGTCATTTTTTGTATTTCAGTCTCATTTACACATTGTCAAAAGGATTGCAAGGATTTAAATGAGCAAAATTTATCTAGTGCATTTAAAAATCCAAGCAAAACACGACTCCATAAAGTTACTTGTTAAATCCAGATTTATTTTCACTTAATTGAATGAGCTGTTTTTCCCTATACCATATCCATTTCACATGTAGGTCCATGATTTAACCCATGCACAGCTGTCCATTCCTCAGTGGCTAATACTCAAGAACTGGTTGTTTAAGTCAAGTGTTTGAATGAATGTACAAGGGGAACAGGCCTAGGACCTTGACATTTGCTAGTCCACATCTGAATAACTGTCCCAAAGCTGGTTCCCAGGTTATCCACCAGAACGGCACAGGCTAGGGTGGCCAGCAGGTGGCTAGACAAAGGAGGATAGAGAGGTCATACTGCAGTTCTTTGCAGTGGAACTTTAGTGGAAGGGTACTGAAGTGGTAAGGTCTGTAGTAGAAAGAGAAAGAAGAGGGGTCACACAACTGAGATGGGGTAAATATGAATGACTAGGAAAGACTGAGGAATGTAGGATGAGTACCTGATATTTTTGTGTCTACTTTTTGTGGAAGAAGATCAGATACAGTGGTGATGGGTGACCTTATAAAAACAGAGGGAGAATATATTTGTCCTCAGTGCTCTGAGGCCCAAATTCTGATCTGAGTTACATAAGTGTAAATGTATTGAAATCATGTTAATTACTTCATTGTTCTCCAGAATATCAGAGTCAACAAACAGGTTTCAATTAGCTGGTCATGGTTAACAATAGAGCCCCATCTCCTACCTCTACCATATAGAGCAATTTTCTACCATGACTACATAACGTTCTTTAAAATGACCTAGCGTAGATACTAAGTGGCATTAAAAAGTGTTAATTAAAACATACCAGCTAGCACATTTTAGATCTCTCATTTTCCAAAGCAGATGATCTCCACTAAGGGTTAGAAAACTGTATTATTGTCCTTACAGGAAACTTGAGGTGTAGGCTTCTAAGGATGAACTTCTTGAGGGATTCCCAAGGGATTAAATATGTTGAACTCAGAAAATGCCACTCAGATTTAATTTGCTATTCTTAAATTTTCCTATGAAACTATAGCTAGGCCAGGTGAATAAGTAATGAATGTTTCTTACAAGGCCACTTAGTCTGGTATGAATTTTTAAAGGAACAAAAGGACTGATGCAAAAGAAATGCTGCATTTACCATTCTTAAGAAGCTCCATGGAAAAGTCATGCACAGGACGTTCATGATTGTGGTGACTGTTAATGAATCTTTTGTAATTCATAACATCATTGCCATAAACTCCATTAATGAGGAATCCATGCTGTGGTTGCTGGACAATGGTAAACATCAAACGATCTTGAGGTACATCCAGATCAATAACGTTGATTACAGAGGGATCCAGTTCTTTCATTTGGCCCTCCTGCACCTGAGCAGCAAAACAAAACAAAGCAACAATAACCATGATTTTTCTGTAGAAAGAGTAGTTTCTTTCTTTCTTTCTTTCTTTCTTTCTTTCTTTAAGAAATGGAATCCTCTTCCCTCACAGAGAGCAGCCAGGTCCCTCCCACAAATCATCAGAGGTGCCTCTGAAACCAAAAGGAAAAAACAACCCTCCACCTCCTTAGCAAAGATTCTTTTATTGTTTAAAAGTCTGATTCTTTGAGCTCTTACTTACTTACCAGCACAGTGCTTACTACTATGGCAGCCTTATTGAAGTCAATGGGACTATTCACAGTAGTAAATGTTTTTATGCTCAGCAGTAAGTATTTGCAGGAATTGCCCCTTATAGATCAACAAAACACAAGAAACCAGCTCCCTGATTCTCCTCTCTCTCCTGGGGCCAAGCTGAGAATCTGGCCAGGAATGAATAAGAAGATGCCATTTTTACATGGTCATGCTTCTGACCATAACCACTCTTACATACATTAAGAGGCGGCTACATGGCAGATCCACACAGTTTGAAAAAATTTAATATTGCAAAACATCGCATATACCCCAATTGCACATCAATTCTGTGGGACTGATGACAGGTGAAATCCTGACGCTATTGAAGTCAATGGCAACTGGGGCTGGGATTTCATCCTATGTTTCCAAGGTAATATTATCTTTCCCTCCCTCCTCCCCGCCCCCCCCCTTTTTTTTTGGTCTGCAGGAAAGTTCTTTTTTTACCATGACAATTTCTTGTACCAGAGTATTGTAAAGGAAACTGAGAATCATACAAATCATCAGTGAAGTGGCTTTTAGCTCTGGGCATGCTGAGTTTTGGGGTCATGAAATATATTGGAGCTACATCTATGTGTGTATATACACAAATATGTACATACAAGAGATGAGATAAATATACATAGACATTACAGTAAATCAAGTCTGCTCAGGTAAGTATTTAAAATACTACTAAAGTTGGTAATTGGTGAAATTCACTCTTGTGCAGAGCACCAGCACAAGGCCCGTGCAACATTAACACCTTACTTTAAGGGCTGATATGAGACTTATGTGTTGAATAGGCCTTGTGTTTCCCTGCACAGGGCTGAATTTCACACAGCAGACCAAAAGAAGGGGAATAGGTTCCAGAAAGATACTAATATGTATATTAAAAAGGAGCCATTGGCTATATATTTTCTGGCATAGAAAGTCATTAGATATCTAGTATTTTGTATCCTTCCTTACAGTTATGTTCCTTGCTATGAATTCTGGGACTTCATCATTTGTTGGGTTGATCAGGACATAAAATGGGGTCTCCACTGAATGATGCTTCCCATCAGTGACATAAATCATAAACTGGTCTGAAGTTGGTTCTGTCCTCACGTGCCTGGACTGCACATAATTTATATGCAAGGCTTTCAGGTGTTTCAGCTGAAATGAAGCTAGAGAATTCAAAAAGATGACAAATTAACAGAACATTTATTCTGATTCCCTTTTAACAAACACTGTAACCCATTAAACACTTGTAAATCCATGCTCATTCCAGGTACAAATCATTTGGGTTTTACATATCTTTAAGCATTCTTAAACTGAGGAAGCAAGGGAATATGGGCCCTAAATAAAACACACCAAGTTTGTGTCTACACTATGGAGACTATACTGGCATAATTACATTTGTGTAGCTACACCAGCATAATTCCATAGTGGAGACACAGGAAAGATTTTTTTCTATCAGTATGGGAACACCAGTTCCCCAAATTAAGTTAGGTATATGTTGATGGAAGCATTCTTCTATTGACATAGCTGTGTCTACACTGGGGGGTTAGGTCAACATATTTATGTCAGACAGGAGTGGGTTTTTTCACACCCTTGACTGACGTAGCTATGTTGACCTAACTTTTAAATGTAGACCAAGCCTGAAGAGCACATCTTCCATCCTGGAGAAATGTTAATTCTCCGATCTCAAGGTGAAGTTACACCAGGAATGAATTTGACCGGTCATGTTCAATTTCTTTCAAATCCAACATAGCTCAGGAGATTTAGAGTAAAAAGAAATGCAGACTTTTCCCAACAGAGGTAATCTCACATCACTGTGAACAGCGTCATGCTGCTTCTTACACTGCAGTTGTAGATGTAAGCCAAGAGTTGCCCTCCCAACCAATCAAATCTGCTTATGATCAGTCCAATGTGGGAAGTGGCTTAGGTAAATTGGACAAGACAGAAACAGATCTACATCACAGTTTCTTAACTCTTGTGTAGATTTCTTTTTCATTTAGAGCCAAAGTCTGCCTGGCCCTTATATGAGAGTGTAGTGGAGTGACAGAAATCAAAAGCCTCTCCTCCCACTCCTTGTGCAGCATGTATAAGGGGTGAGCTGACGCTCAAGGTAGCACAGGAACTGTTGCTTCTTTATTTGTCTGGGATACATTAGTGCCCAAAGGGAATATGGGGAGGGGGAAGGGGAAAGGAAGAGCCATGGCTGCATTCCTGCCAATCACAAGCCAGCTCTGCTAGCTAGCCACACAAGGTATGTCTACATAGCCCATGAAAGCGAGCCTCCCAGCTTGGGTCAACAGTGGATCTCTACCTTTCCAGACTACTGTACCCCTTTCAGGAGTCTGATTTGTCTTGCATCCCCCCAAGTTTCTCCTCACTTGAAAATTACTTGCTTACAAAATCGCACATAAAAATACAAGTGTCACCGCACACTATTACTGAAAAATTGCTTACTTTCTCTTTTTTACCATATTATAAATCAATTAGACTATAAATATTGTACTTACATTTCAGTGTAGAGTATATCGAGCAGTATAAACAAGTCATGGATGACATTTTAGTTTGTACTGACTGCGCTAGGGCATTTTATGTAGCCTGTTGTAAAACTAGGTAAACATCTAGATGAGTTGATGAACCCCCTGGAAGATCTCAGTGTACCCCCACGGGTACCCGTACCCCTGGTTGAGAACCATTGATCTAGACAACGCTTTGAAGTTGTGGCTCTGAAGCCCACCCTCCTCCATAGGCTTCAGCAACCAAGCTGCAACTTCAACGCACTGTCTACACAGCTATTTTTAGAGCACTAGCGTGAGCCACATTGGCCCAAGTCTGTTGGCCCAAACTGGGAGGTTTGCTGTTGCGGGCTGTATAGACACATCCATGGGGGGAGTATATTGCATCCTGTGAAATGATGTAGCAGGGCACAGGCTTCACCCCTCCAGCCCCCCCGTACATTGGGGAGCTCCAAGAAGCACTCTATCTTCTTGAGACCAAATGCCTCACATGGTACTCCTTCTGGGATACTGCAGCTCTACACCACCCCTCACTATGGAAGATGTGTGGTTTGCACAATCTAGCCCTAAATGAGTAAACGCAAGTAAGTAGATAGGAAAAGGTTTGCCTAAATAGGGACTTTGGGTGGGATTTTCTGAAGTACCTAAATGACTGAGGAGCACAAAAAACACTGGAAGTCATTGGGACTTGTGCCACTCAGTCACTTAGATCCTTGTGAAAATCCTACCTATCTACATTTTCAAGAGTGACTAGTAATTTGGGGGTGCCCAATCTGAAACACCAGTAAGAGCCCTGACTTTCAGAAAATGCACCACACTCGTGCTCTGAAAATTAGGCTCCTTTAAAGTGTCTGAAGATGGACACCCAAAACAAAACAAAACAAAAAATCGAGGCAACCAAAATCACTAGTCATTTTTGAAAATGTAGGCTTAGAGTGTATCTTGGGGCATCCGTTTTTAAAAATCTTGCCTACAGTACTTTACTAATGAAAAACAGAAGTGTGTGTGGGGAAGGAGGGAGTTCAGAAGAAATGTGAAGTGGCAGAGTAGAGAAAATAGGTTAATATATTGTCATTTCTAACACAGACTGCAGCTCAAATGTGTAAATCTTAAATATGCTTAATTTATCTGAGTGCCAATTCTTCATGTTCACAGGGTTACATTCTCTCTTTGAATCCCCTACACACAGCCTCAGTGCTCCTTATTTATGTACACCTGCCTTCCCAATAAAGACTAAATTAAAGCATGCACCTGCCGTGACTACACATCAGCCCACTGCCTGGCAGTCCATTAGCTATGTATGTAACATGTACAGTATTGGTGTTCTTGCCATTGTGTCTACACATACCTATACTTATACCAATGTTGCTCTTCTCAAACCCAGGGGAAGGTAGTATATTTTCAATGTAACCAAACTGGGGAGGAGAAACCAAAACAAACTCTAAGTCATCTGCTGCGGTGTCGGGGTCAGTAGCAAACAAATTGTTAGCGGTAACGACAGCTGAGAAACCCTCATCCACAACAAACATGGCACCTAGACACAAATGATATGATGATGAGTATTATTTAACTCAACTTACTGGGATATTTTACTAAAGAAATTGGCACAATAGCTGATGGGAAACTGCACTACAAACAGGCTGGTACAAATGTTTTCTAATCATGGTATCAACTCCACTTTCTCATCACGTAAGCAGGTGGGTGGGGGCAGGGGGAGAAAATCACAAAACAATTTTACTGATAAGCCATTAAGTATGGTTTATGTGCTGCTCAAGATCAGTTGTTACCTCTGTTTGTCAGAGCATTAATTGCCTGAGAGCTGTTACGAATTGCTCATAATGAACAATTTTTCATGCATCGGTGTTTAATTTCCCTGCTGGGACAATACTTCATTTCCAGAACATTGCTCGGGTGATAGGCTGCAAATTACAAAGCTACCCATACATATGTTTAAATGTTCTTTTGCAATACAGAACATATACCCAATGCCTACAGTAAATGGCATTATAAAATGACATTATAAAAGAAAAGATACATCCATAGAAAGTGTATCTTTATGACAGGCACTATGGGCCTGATCCGAAGCCCATCAAAGTCAATGGAATCTGTTGACAGATTAAATTTAGGCTATCAACTACAAGATGACTTATTTTCTTTACTATTTGTTTTTTGAACCTTGCAAGAACAATTGAAAATCTGGCTCTACATGTATTAAATGAATTAAGTGTACAATGCAACTTATCTTTGTCTTCATTAATTAACAGCATAAAGTGGAAGTACTATAAATATTACCCCTCTCCCTTCGTATGGAAAAGGCCAGTTTGTAAAATGCATGCTAAGAAGTAATAGGATAAAGTAGAGAGATATTTATGGCTATATTTTTGTTTTGTGTAACCCTGACAGTTATCTAATCTGGATCCAAGTTCAGTTCTGAATTCTTGTGAAGTTCAGAGCTGTTTGGATCTGGGTTTTTAGTTCAGGACCATTTCTATTATTCTATCTGTTTATTACACAGAAGCATATAGAGTACATTTTCAAAGGGCTGAGGTTCCGCCTAATTTTCTGCAGGCACTTGCAAGGATGAAAAGTGGGGGCAGATCTGAGTACTTGAATCTTTAACTACCTGATCTGCACACTGAGTCAAACAGCTAGGGGCAGTTACTCAGATTTGCACTTGAAATTGAATTCTAGGTGCAAACTGTGCCTGCAGAAAAGAAGGCTGCCTGTGTGAAAAATTGGTCGATATGATCTAAAAGTTTTGCATGTTTATCTTCCTGTCTGGTCAGTTTTTGGTGCTAGCAAATATTGAGAATCTAGCCTCTAGCCAACACCAGGTTATTCAGGATATAAGATAATAGACTAGAAATAAAGAGGAAGCTTTTCACCAATTGCAATGGATGGTGGCTGGTTGTCCACTGGAAATACACTGATGTTAAGGTCATATACTGGAAAGGAATCATGAAGTGGTACTGGAGGAGGAAGAAGTCCATCATAACAGCAGTCATTCACATCCATGCCAGCTTCACCATCAGAGATAACCAAGGTTAGGGTGTCAAAACAAGGAGTCAGGCCAATCTCCCCACCTGGAAAAACATGCTACAGATGATGTTCTACAATAAGAAACCAAAACTCAATGAAGCAGTGACTTGTATCAATTATGGACCATCCACAATATTCTGAGGGTAAATTGTGACATAAAGACAGGCTAAAAAACAACAAAATTCAAATGAAAGAGCTGAAACTGCTTGGTTCTCTGTTTTTCAGAGATAGAAGCTGAGTCTAAATACAACCCTTCTCTGTTGAAAGAGCAAGATGAAGAAATGGTATCTTAATCAATGCTATTTACTATAAATAATCTACTTTGTATCTTTTGCCTCCAGGGGTCTATTTCATACATGATCGATTAATGCTCAAAACCCTCTTTGTCAAGGAAAGGAGTTACTTGTCGCAAATCCCCTATGTATCAATGGAGAACAGGCCCATAATTCCTAAAACACTGACAATCTTCCTATGGAGGATGGAAATACATCCATGTCCTGGACAGAATTGACAGAAGGACGTATGAAGAAGATACAACAACATCGTGCCAGGATGTTTTTATAGACTTAGAAATATTCAGATCCATATGTGCTGCATATCCCCCAAAAAACTGACACTTCCAAACATGGTGGTTTACTGCTAAATGGACAACTAAATCCTATAATAATAAATGCTATTATGCCACCTCCAAAGTAACCTCAATTTTGCCTGAATAACCTCTCGGGGTGTAGAGTCATTTAATTCCTCTATAATGTTAACAAATAAGTATATCAAGAATGACCATATTCAACTGCTTCCCTACATGCTCAAATTACAGCTGCTCCTTTAACAACAGATAGAAATCACAGTGAAAAAGTCAAGTCTATTCTCAATTCTAGAACAAAATTATGAGCTAAGCATGCGCAGAACTGGAGATTCTGAAACAAGAGTTGGAACAATAGTGTTCACACACATATAGAAGGAAAACACTTATTATCCAGGGAAAATCCTTGAAGAGTATTCTAATGGTCAAACTCTCAGGGAACTGTAACTGGCTTTGATTTGCATGTGCAATCACCGGTGCTCTTTTGACATGCAAATGCCTGGAGCACAAAATGTAATCAAATGAATCCAAACCATCTATGAAGTTTCTAGAAAAGCTGATTTAATTTTAAAAACAAAACAAAAAGAACCCCTTGCTAAAATTATGGTTTTCTGTCAAACCACAACATAATTTACCTTCTAGTGCAAAAGGACTGTAAACTTTCCAGAACACATGTGTCTGTTGAGGACTCCCCCAAATCACTAGTGTTGTTCTACTGAATCTCTATATCACTCTCTGGAGTATAAAAATAATCTAATTTATCCAAACATAGGTGTGAAACATGCTCACAGTTGCAAAAAAATGTTAAGACTTTTTTTTTTTTTTACCATGTTCAGGAACCATATTTTAGTCTAGGTATCAAGCATAGTAAATGTATTTACAGGTAGAATCATGGTTCTACAGGTAGAACCATGATTCTATAAACTGGCTATGAGATAGCTTCCCATCCCAACAGGCAATTAGAAAGTGTTACACGACACATTTGGGCCACAACTATGTTTCACAGCTGTGTTTGCATGTGGTTATTTATATGCAGTAGTGTAGATGCAGGCGTTCAGCATCTCCTAGTGATGAGCTGCCAGAGTTATCTGGATTTACACAAGATCCCAGAGCTATCTGGCTACACCTCCAATCTAGTGCTCTTCTAGTCTCACTTACTAGTATGCTTGTAGGTCACTACTCCAGAGACAACGTCCGCTTGGGAGAAGCGATCCACAACGATACCAGCTTTCCTCACAACCCCATAATAGGGCTGTCGAGCCAACATAAAAGTCAGTTTCATGTCATCGCTGTCTGCATCGGTGGCATAAATGTACTCTGAGGTGATGACCACTTCCTCACCCTCTGGACATTGTATTAGGGGAATGAGGCCATCTTTCATGATAGGTGGCTCATCATTTACAGGTAGCACCTAAACAGAAAAACACATACAGTTTCACCTAAAGTACACAACCCTTGTCCTTGCAAGCACAGTTCACTGGGAGGAAACATGGGGCATGCTCAACCAAAGTGAATGATTAGACTTGCAGATATAGAAAATAGGCCAAAAAATGGAATGAATTAAATTAAATCCTGAGTCTCTCATTTAAGAGGATCTCACAATGAAGTCACAAGAGTCAGACTGAAGTCAATGGGAATTTTGTCTGACTAAGGACTAAGGAAACGCAGCAGGGTTCAGTCAGCTCCATGAATACATTTTTATATGAAGCAGCAGTGCCATTCATAACCCATCAGAAAACAAATGCATGCGGCAGTGCATCTTTGATAGGGCACAGATAGGGACCACTGGACATAAAAGACACATCCTGATAACTTGTGGCAGGGGTGGAAATCAAGGAGTATAGGCCTGGAATTTTGGGCCAAGTTCACTGCTTGTCTAAGCCAGTGCAACTCCATTGATTTCAGTGGAAATGCATCAGTGTACACCAGTGGTGAATTTGGCTTTTCAATTTTATATAGTTGGGAGTTTACCACAGGGGAAGGAAAATTATGCCTTTGCCAACTAACATTCTGGGGTTTTATAAGCCTTCAAGTTGTATAACAAAAACAATATGAAACTCAGATGATGCTCTTTAATGGATTACACAAAAAGAAAGAGGAAAAAAAGAGAACAAATCCAAACTACACCTACTACGGTCTAATGGTTAGCAGGGCCAGCTCCAGGCACCAGCTTAACAAGCAGGTGCTTGGGGCGGCCAAGGAAGAGGGGCGGCACCTGCGGCAATTGGGGGGCGGCAGGTCCCTCACTCCCTCTAGGAGCGAAGGATCTGCCGCTGAACTGCCACCGCCGATCGCGGTCTTTTTTTTTTTTTTTTCTAATTGCCACTGCCAATCGCGGCTTTTTTTTTTGCTTGGGGCGGCAGAAATGCTGGAGCCGGCCCTGATGGTTAGCACCAGATACTGGCAATCGGAACACTGTCGGCTGGGCTACAACTCACTGCATCCATGTCCTGGGCAAGCCACTTCACTTCTCTGTGTATCAGTTTCCCCACCCATAAAATTGGTATAGTAGTTATCTACCTCAAAGGGATATTGTGTGGTATTAAATGAATGGAAAATGCTTTGTGATTCTCTGATGAAATGCAATACAGAAGTATTATCATCATCACTAAATTTAATTATGGAGTCTCCATAACCGGTTAGGATTGTTGAAATGATCACTTAGTGCAGATGCCTTGATTCAGGTCCAGCCAGAGAAACTGTGCATGCACATGGGTGTGTGTGTGTGTGTGTGTGTGTGTGTGTGTGTGTGTAGTAGTGAGATCTAATTTCTGCATGTACACATTCTGCACGCACACACAGAGCGCTAGGTTT